CAGCCCCTGCCCCTCGCCCCGGTCAGCGCCTGCAGGCACCACGCTCCGCCTTCGCCATCAAGTAAGTGTCTATCTGCGTGGGGTCTGCTTCCAGAAAAAAAAAAAAGGACATCCTTTTGGGGGCTGGGGGGAATTCACCAAGACGCATTTTCACCACCTTCTCCCATTTGTAACAATCGGAATTACAGAGAGGGAGAAAATACACTCTTCCAGATGAGACGGACAAGATTTTGTGCCTGCGATAAATTTAAAAAAGTCTCATTTGTGTATTCAAAAGAAATAACCCCGAACCCAAACAACTAAGTTAGAGAACGTTTAAGCATTTGTGAAAATCACAGCCCCGCCATTTGTCGGCTTTCTGCTCCGTGGCTGATGTTACAGAGCCACTCTCCCTCCCTCTTCACCGGCGGAGGTTTCTGTGCTCGCACAGCTCGCCTGCTTCCCTGCCAAGGCTCTTGAAATACAGCCCTGAGAGGAAGATGGTGGGTACACTGCGCAGTGAATCATTTTTACTTTAGAAGTATAACAGGCACTTTTTTTCCTCCTCCTGCAATCATATGACAAGGAGGTCTCGAGGTAAAACAGAATCCTGCACTGTGAAACTCACCTGCAAGTGCCCGCTTGGGACTACGCCGACACTCCTGATTTCTGCCCCAGTCCCTGCTGTTAGTTACCGTTACACCACAGCCATGTCTCCTTCACCACGTCTGAATGTGAACCAGATATCAAGAGCCTGAGGCTGAAGGCTGGTGCTGGACTGACAGGAATTTTTGGTTTACACATCAACATAAAATCAGGAGCAGAAAAGTACCGAATTTCCACGGGAATGTTAGAACAGTACATCCAAAGAATTCAAGCGATGCCAATATACCTAGCATTTGTTCTCTGATCCGGTGCATGCACTAATAACCAGGGAACGCTCGTTCTGGGCCCCGAGTACCACCGTGCCACGTGTAGTGAAACCTGCTCTCAGCCTGGCCGTTCCAGCATTCTTGGACTGGAACATATCTCAAACCAATACATATGGACATCATGGTGCATTATGCATGAAAAATTAGCGTATATCTTTGGGTTTTGGAAGTATAAAGGCTCTGTTGAGCCACGCTTGGGATGATCTGCGTAACTCACTGGTTTTGCTAGCTGTAAATGCACCGCTGTCTAAGTGGGGCTATGCCACTAACGCTCCCTTACCACCGTTCCAGGCGCTGGGTGCCCAAACGAGTCTGTGCGATAGACGTGCCATCGTTACATACTGACACGGAGTACAAAGTCACGCAATGCTTTTCCTTTTGCAAATGGTTTCATGCTTTGCTATGCACTTTTGACAGTACCAGTTTTTCTCTGACCACAGGGCTCTGGTCTATCTCTGTCATTCAAAATTTCTCAGCACCTTCAAAATCTCCCATTTATTTTAAAGGACTTGTCAAAGAAATCGTTCCCCTTTTTCTCACTTGCATCTGTGTGTGTGATTGAAAAGGAGAGGAAATAACTGGCGTGAACACCAGTATCGGCAAGATAGAGAACTGTTCACGTAACATGTTTAAGGATTCCTGCCTAAGATTTTGGGTGTCTTACAATGGGGAAAGAACCTGGTTTGGTTATGATGCTTCTGGCTGGATATGATACTTCTAGCTCTAAAAATACCTCAATTAGATTAGATGACAAGTACTATAATCTTGCAGAGAAGCCAGCAAAGACGGTCATATTTTAAATGCCAATTGCAGATTATTTTGATTCTTGGCTTTCAAGTTCGAGGAGTGCAAAAGAACATCCCCCAAAACTGAAACACTCTAATGGCCCACAGTCCTTGCTGACCAGCATGTGACACTAGGCAAGAAACGGGCTATAAGCAACATCGTACTTGGCTTGTCCTGTCAACCCTTGGCTGTAGCAGTATATTTCTGTCACCACAAGCAATATCCCAGGCCATGTACTGAGAACTGCTCTAAAGTGGTTTTCAAATAGTTTGCTGTAAACGTATAGCTTATGCAAAATAAACTTTCAGATGGAGTAAGGATTTCAAGATAGGTTCTCAAGTGATCCAATCACTCCAGTCAATAGAGACAGAAGAGATGCTGATTTATGCTAGCCCAAGAACAGTAGTCCTGTATCACAAGCAATATGAGTAACAAGGGCAAAACCCCACTTAAAAAAAAAAAATCCTTTTCACTGCACCTCAACAGGCTGGTATGAATACACTTCTATGAAAGTGATGTTTCCTGAGTTTTTGAGCATTTGGGTAAGATGCAGTAGTATCAGAAACACTCAGATGAGAGTTGTTTCCATGTATCAGAGAAGATTTTATTCTCTAATTTACTGAAGAACGTTCGTAATAATTTATATTGATACATTATTTCCATTTCCAACTCCTGTAAAGCTATAAATTCATGTAAAATAAACCAAAACATAGTCAACCCTCGCAGAAATTTCCTGAACAAAGTTTCAATATACTTTATCTTGGTTTCACTTGTCATTTTCGGTCTTCAGATCTAGTATGTCACAGTCCATGCACCACACCCCATCCCATTAGCAATCAGCCTGTCAGCATAAAGACGGCTGTTACACCACACACACAGAAAAAAATATTCATGCAAGTGTACCTTGATTCTGCTTTTCATGGGCAATGGAATTCACTTTTGCATAGCAACAATCTTCTGGGATTTGCAGGTTCATATTAGCTTCAACTACTGTATACCTGAAAGAATCCAAAGCGGTAAAGCCATCAACAAAAGCAATAGTGTATGACCTGCCAATTATACTGCTCTTGGCCCTTAGAAAATATGAAATGATCAGTATCGTACAGAAACTGAGTCCGATAAGTTGCTTAGGAAACAAGTACCACTTGATACGGCATGAATTTCACTTAATTGCAAGAGAAGAGCAAATGGGAGGGGCAAGTAATAGCCTCTCATTGCTTTACACCCTTATGTAGGGCTTCATTTGCTGGAGCTCCTATTTTTTCATTCTTGACTCACTGCATGGCAGCCCCACAGGGTTAAAGACACTGTCGATAAGAACTTACCCCAGATCGTGACCTAGGCTGTGCTTTATGAGTCGAAGACCTGCTGTATCGTTTAAGAAAAATCTTTTGTGTAGCTTGGGATCAACAGATCTTAGATGTATATTGAGGA